ATATTGCCATTTTTTCCTTTCATCACCATCCAACCTCGATTGCTTTTTCTGTGGTGCGTTTCCTTGTCTGAACCCATCCGATTCTATCTTGCTTGACTACCTTTCTTAATCCTCAAGTCTTTTCTCCTATCTCCAAGTAGCATGAGTTTAGTATTCCAAATGTTCCCCTGGCTGCTTATACTGCCTTTCTCTCCTGATAAAAGTGCTTTAAGCATCACAAAAGGTGCTTCACTGAGTGGAAAAAAAATGAGATGTTTGTGCTTGGAGAGGAAGCTCCGGAGTGCAGACTGTAAGGCAGGAAATTAAAATCTTGAGAGAAAATCTGAGATAGAACAATTTGGGATGGCACAGAAAAGTCGAGAAAATGCTGCAAACTGAATTAAACAGATAGCCAAGCCAGGAGCCCTAAGAAATATAGCCTTCTGTGAGGTCACCCGCATGGTTTTTGTCCTGAACTTCTCTGCTAGGCTTGAGGACAGAAAATACTGAAGCACATCAGTGACTGGTCCCTGTGAGCCCTTTTATGTAATGTTCAAGTGAAGGCTCCTCTGTGTCTTAAAGATGAGAATGATACCAATGAAATTTGACTGGTTCACACTTATTCACTATCTTCTTCCATCTTTCCAATAAATATTCCCTGGATTCCACTGGGAATCTATGAGATCCCTGGGCAGTATCCAAGGAAGAAACACATAATCTATGCCAAATCAATTCTTCCATCTGGAAATCATGTGCGGTAAGTCAGTCCAATCAGAGCACATCTTGATACTTCTACCAGAAATTCTAGGAAAAGGATTTCCTCTCTTGCTGTGAATGGTATGGTATGCACATGTGAGGCCTATAGCTAAGCCTGTTGCCTGCAGATAAGGCCAACATATGGAAAAAGGCAGAGCTGAGAGAATTGTGGGGAAATGGAGCTGGAGCTCTGATGGAACTGTGCCTGCAGCCCACCCTACCAGAGGACTTTATAAAGTTCCTGGTATGACAGCCAATGCATTCTGTTTTTTTGTTGTTGTTGTTGTTTTTAATGTAAGCCAATTGGAATTAAGCTTTTTAAAAAAACATAATGAAAAATGTCTTAAGTGAGATATTTATAGATCAAAAGTTTTGTTTATCAAAGTACTCTATCAGTCGATGACAGCTGAGCCTAACATCAGCTCAACATGGAAAATCTTGTTGTCACCTCCATTTTATTCACTTAAATCCGTGTCTTCTGACTCCCAGTTCTGAGTCTTTTTCTCACAGCATGACACTGTGCTGAAATGACATTCATCCCAGTGAATTCCAATAAAGGCAATGTGATACTTTATTGCCTACCTCAGAGCAATTCCCCACCCCTACATCTTTTATAAATAAAACACACATTTATCTTTTTTCTTTTTTAGCTTCCTTTGCAGCTAAAGGTGGCCTCATGACTAAGTTCTGGCCAATTAAGCTAACATGAAATCTCTTAGAAACAAGCTTCAAGCTACTCCAGGGAAAGTGCATGCACTCTCGATCTCTCATTTCCTGCTGTCCCCACCCATCCTATTTTTGAATGCTGTCATGATGCTAGAGAGCTATGGGAACATAAAGAACTAGGCTAGCTTGCCAAGGATGGCGAAGAGGAAGAATGGAGAAGTCTGGCCTATGATGACACCATGGGGCAGCTGAACCAACAACAATTCTCTTCCTCCAGAACTCTGGTTATGTGAAAAACATTAAATGTAATTAAGCCACAACGAATCAAGGTTTCCAATATTTACAGCCAAAACATTCCTAACTCATAAATACTGGTGTCTGGCAAAATGAGCCAATTTTCCTTCGAAGAAGGTAGATGTGTTCAAATCAAAACTCATGAGGCTATGAATTTGGTGAATCTTTTGACTCCCAAAATGGTGTCCTTCTCATGAGTATCTTATCCTCCTGGGGGCCTTCAAGCCTACAGCAGTCTCTGAGATCAACATTGCACCCTTTTCTATTCTAAAGGGAGCTCTTAGGCTAAGTAATTATTAGAGTAGCTACTCAAACTGCACTATCATTAGGACAAGTTAGTGAGAATAATACTTTGCTTCTTCTTGAGGCACATGGATTTATATATTCATAGCTCATATTTTAAGGGTTCACAGTGCTCTTTTCTTTCATTAAGGTGCCTCACCTGCCTTTAAGGAAAGATAGGAAAACATCTGAGATTAAGAAAAGTATGGATTCATGTAAGATAGAGAGACTTGGTTCTCTGAACTAGAAACTTCTAATATCTTAACCGGTCATCTGTTAATGATGGCTACTTTAAGTGATATCTCATCTTTCACCGAGACAGACCCTTAACTCACTGCTATGGAAAGTGATGCAGGGATATTCTTCATTGGCCTTAGGGCCTCTTTTTGGTCTTACCAACTTGCCTAGGTAAGGCACTGACTTACCTAGTCAGTGCCTCGAATCAAGTTGGTAAGACCAAAAAGAGGCCCTAAGGCCAGTGAGGAGATATCTCCGCTCCCCTAAATCTTCCTTATGTGAATGTAGATTTTAAAAATCATATTCTTATTGCATCTCAGCCTTTTGGTTAAGATCAAATGTAAAAATTATGATCTTGATCACTGAGCACCTATACCAAATAACCTGTTGGACGGAGGGCATAGTATTATGGTTTTTATGGGGAGAAACCAAGAACTCCATCAGAGCTGTTCATGGCAGGAAACCTAAAGGTACTACTGCAGCCTGATTCCATTAAGGTCTTTGGCAAGATTTCCTGTCATTTTCTGTACTTTCAGCTCTCCATCTATGCTCAGCAGTAGAATAGGAGTACCACTACATCAGAAGGTGTGGCTATATATGTATACAGACGTTTTCCAGTATGGTCCAACCAGAGTCCTAGAAGTAATCACAAATACATAGCCAATTAATGATGCGAGTGGCTTTGTTACAGACACCAAAAGCCTGGTTTCATCTTAGAGGGAATAAAAATCTCATTAGAATGACGGTCCATTGCCTACCTTTCCTTCTGACATTCATCCTTCTGGGCAACGTAAGAATCCTTGGAACATACAGAAATGGACAAAAACATTTTAGGAGAATGGTGGCAGTGCTGGGAGTCATTGACCAATGCATATTGGCTTGTTGCACCTCAAGTGCTTCATTCTTGAACAGAAATATCACGTGACTCTAAATTGTTTTCACTCTCATTATTATTGATGTAAAATAACACATAGCTCATCCCCAAAAGTCCTCACCCCAAAAAGTCGGACTGTAACAATAGATGCAGAGGCAGATGGTGTTAGCATGAAGAGCCTATATAATGCATACGTTACAGAGAAGATTTATTTCGTCATTTAGATTTCAAATGTTGTAACATTTAGCATGTGTTGTGTGCCAGGTAGTATGTTTAGGCTACAGGAAATGAAGAACAAAGACCTAGTTTCTGACTTCAAGGTTGACTCAGACTAATTGGGTTGACAGAAAAATCAAGATAATTATAAGACCCTTCACCCTCCCAACTAGGATTATCCTAACTGGGAAGAATAAATACATATTTTTTCCTCAAGTATTCCCTTAGCCTTTAGATCTACCCAGCCTAGTTGTTTTTCTTCTTTTCCTTTTATTTCTCTATTTTCTTTTTTCTTTATGTCTCCCCCTTGAGATCATAAGTCTAATTTTAGTTCCCAGCCATTCTTTAACACAGGCATTAGCATAGGCAGGCTACGTACAAGGTTTTTGCTCTCCCGTGATATGTCACGCTTAATTAACTGTCACTTTTACTATCAATATTAACTGAGATATTAATTTGATGAATCTTAATTTCTCTTAATCATAGCATCATTTTTATCCTTCATTGGATACCTCTTTAAAATGACACACAGTGCAGAGGAGAAATATTAATAGTATACGCAGGTTTTTTTTTTTTTTCTGAGATGGAGTTTCACTCTTGTTGCCCAGTCTGGAGTGCAATGGTGCAATTTCGGCTTACCACAACCTCCACCTCCCGGGTTCAAGCAATTCTCCTGCCTCAGCCTCCTGAGTAGCTGGGATTACAGGCATGCACCACCACACCCAACTAATTTTGTATTTTTAGTAGAGACAGGGTTTCTCCATGTTGGTCAGGCTGGTTTCGAACTTCCGACCTCAGGTGATCCACACGCCTCGGCCTCTCAAAGTGCTGGGATTACAGGCATGAGCTACCATGTCCGGCCTCAGGTTTTATTATTTATTTATTTTCATCTCTTAAGTAATTGCATATTTTCCTGGCAAGAATACCTGTTTTTTGAACAGATGTAGTCACCCGGATTTCCTTGATAGCAAATGGGTGTTTTTCTTGACCACCACCTGACTCTGTTTTGCACTTCCAAATGAAAATACTTTTAAATTTAATAAATGTTACTCCCCAAAAGAATTCTCCAGGATCTTCGGCACTATCTGTCTGGCAAAAGCTCTGTACTATTAATGGACACATGGAAAACATGTGTCCTTTGGTAGCAGAGTCTACAGAGGGCTGGTACCCAGGAAGAATGAGCAAAGAGGGAGGGTAACTGAGCTGTCCAAAGAAGTCTGATCTGTTTGCTGGACATTCTTTCTATCTTTCCCTATGTTCACTGATTTTTTTCTATAATTCCTTTTTTCCCCTGGCCTCACATCCCTCTTGCACAACACCCTTATATACATTGAGCTGGTAAAGCTGCCTTCTGGACTGCCTCACCTAGCCCACCATGTAATTGAGACGTGTCTGACACAGAAAATAAACTTGAGGCCATATTAGGAAGAGTCCCATCACTCAGATCTAGTCACCTGAACATTGGAGACCCATGAACAGAATCATTCTCAGCTCCCTGGTTCTGATGTGGGGAAGGGACGAGATGGTGGCTGCTTTCCAGAGCTTTGGCTCTCTCATTAAAGGGAGAATGAGAGCTCTCCTTCCTTCCTCAGTTCCTGACTGTTCAGGGAGTCTTTTGAACCCTGAAGCCTGGGAACTCAGGGAAAACAAATACAAGCACAGTCATAGAGGCAGCACGTGCCTGAAGTCTACTCACCTCCAGGTATACCACCCAGGGCATCACCAAGGTGGCCACCAGCAAGTCTGCCACAGCCAGGCTCACTACTAGGTAGTTGGTGGTAGTCTGCAGGGCCCGCTCCTTCAGCACAGCCATGCACACCAGGCCATTGCCGAAGACGATGGCCAGAATGAGCGTGCAGTAAGAGAGGGCATAGTAGGCATGGGGGCGCACCTGGCTGGCACCTGTGGAGTTTTCCTCCCCACAGGTGTAATTCAGGTGGCCACTCAGCTGACTCAGAGGTGCCATAGCCCAGAGGGAGGTGCCTGATGCCAAGGGCCTTCCTATGAGGAGACAGAAAACAATATTAATAAAATCAGACTCTTTGGGGCTTGGTTGCTTAGTTACATGTTTTGATTTATTGCATCAACAAATATTTATGAAGCATTTTCTACAAAGTAGGGACCGTTGTGAGAGTTGGAGATACAGCAATGAACAAAGTAGATAAAAATTGCTCCCCTTTGAAGCTCCCATTATAGAGAAGAAGACAGACAATAAACAAGATAAATAAAAGATGTGGTATGTTCAATAGTGATATGTATATTGGACACAAATCAGGGAGGTGGGTAAGTAGTGGGTGAAGATTGTGTGTATGTGGGTGAATAAGTCTGAATATAATCAGGAACTCCTCAAGGAGAAATCAGCAATTGAGTCAGGACTTGGAGGAGATCAGGAAGCAGACCATGCAGATATCTGATAAGACAGCAGTACAAGCAGTGAGAACAGCAGGTGCCAGCAGGAAGAGCTAGCACATAGAAGGCATAGAAGGGAGGCCGGTGAGGCTGGAGCCAAGTGAGGCAGGAGTAGAACAGTAGAGGTGGTGTGGTAGAGAGGTTGTGCGGTGCCATGGAAAGTACCATGCTTGAACTCTGAATAGGACGGGAAGCTGTTGCAGGATTACAATCCCAGCTCTGATGCTTCCTAACTCTGGGACCTTGTGCTTATTACTTTACCTCTCTGAGCTCCAGATTCTTCCTGTGTAAAATGCGGGAATAATGAAACCCACCTAACTTAGTCCATTTTGGGTTGCTGTAACAGAACACCTAGGCCGGGCGCGGTGGCTCAAGCCTGTAATCCCAGCACTGTGGGAGGCCGAGGCGGGTGGATCACGAGGTCAAGAGATCGAGACCATCCTGGTCAACATGGTGAAACCCCGTCTCTACTAAAAATACAAAAAATTAGCTAGGCATGGTGGCGCGTGCCTATCATCCCAGCTACTCAGGAGGCTGAGGCAGGAGAATTGCCTGAACCCAGGAGGCGGAGGTTGCGGTGAGCCGAGATTGCGCCATTGCACTCCAGCCTGGGTAACAAGGGCGAAACTCCATCTCAAAAAAAAAAAAAAAAAAGAACACCTGAGTCTGGGTAATTTACAAAGATCAAAAATGTATCCTGTCACAGTTCTGAAGTCTAGAGGAAGAGCTAAGGCCTGTGACTTACAGTGTAACCCTGAAACCCAAGCAAAGGTGACTCTTGCTCCAGGCTCTGTGCTATAAAGGAACCCACTCTGGTCTTCTGCTATCATCTGAAGTTTGTGTCTCCCTAAACTCATATGCAGAAATCCTAACTCCGAATATGGTGGTATTAGGAGGTGGGGGCCTTTGAGCAGTGATTAGGTTATGAGGACAGAGCCCTCATGAATGGGATGAGTGCTTTTATAAAAGAGACCCAGAGAGCTAGCTAGTCTTTCAACAGACGAGGACATAGAGAAAAGACAGCCGTCTATGAACCAGAAAGCAGGTCCTCACCAAACACTGAAACTTCTGGTGCCTTGATCTTGGACTTCCCAGACTTCAGAACTGTGAAAAATAAATATCTGTTGTTTATAAGCTACCCAGTTTATGGCATTTTGTGATAGCAGCCCAAAAGGACTAAGGCACCCTCTACCGTTATGCCTCTACACCTCTACAGGATGATGCTGTAACCTCCCACAGTGCCAAGGAGAAGATCCACTAAGTTTACACCCTTGTCTAGACCACACTCAGAATTCTCTGCCAAACTGCTCAGAGCTTGTTTCCAGGGCATCATGGGCCTCATTCTAAATCTGTCACCCTGAGGGTAGACTATGCCATAAATGTGGAGGGTCCCTGGGGCCAAGTGGGTAGCTTTCAGTTACAGTTCAAACAAATAGATCCTATGTAGCCTGAGGTGGGGAGAGAAGAGGACACGGTCCCTGAGGTAGGTTAGGGGTGGGGGCCCAGCTTCTCCTGCATGGTCACATTTTGTACGGAATTCTGAAGGGTCCAGTAATCTTAAATTCAAACCTGGCCTTCCACATTGTTATGAAGTGTATTCGTCAAGGTGGGAAGATTAAACATTTTACTCAGTGGTTTGTTGGTTGCAGCTTTAAACTATTTAAACATGGTACATACGGACCTTTATGGGAACTCTCTCTTCAGGCCCTGGCAGAAGTAGAGGCTGGGCTGGTGGCTAGAATTGGCCCTCAAGCCAGGTTAGGAGATTAGGAGATTGGCCTAATCATGGCTGTCATTTTTTACCTCACTTTGAAATGTTTCAGCCTGAAATGTGAAAGAGTTAAAATGAACAAATGATTGGAAAAGGGTGACCAACTTGGAATAAATTTAGAGAATTGTTTAAAAAAATTGTCCTTTATCTTGGCACACTGTTTGCACTCAATGTATTTTAAAACATAATAATAATTCTTGATAATAATTATAATTTTCTCATTATTCAGAGGAGGGCAGCCGCTACCCTGGAGATAGCACTGCAGCTGCCAAGAGCTTTTGAAAAAATACAATGCTTTCTGATTGTTCAAGGATATTTCCACTTTTAAGGCAGGCTCGGGCCCAAATGTCTTCCCTTTTACAGCTGGGCCACTTTGGAGTACAGTGGCCAGAATCCTTCTTTTCTGGGGTCTAAAGCTAATGCCTTAGCTTATCTTACCTGGCACATAAGAGAGAGGCATAAAACCTTTGAATATCTGTTACCCTTTTGCCGGACTTTTTACCTGCCAAGAGGTTTGACAGCTACCTAAAAATAGTATAGCTGAATGCCAGCGGCTAATTACATGAAGGGAAACCCTCAACTCTGAAAATCAATTCTGAGCCTGATGTTGGAATCGCAGTTGCATGGATTTCTGATTTCTAATTTATTTTTTTCCACATCTGATCTTAGAGCCTTTATAGCAGCAGGTGGGTTAAACCGTGATTGTCCAGGTAGTTTCTGAAGAGTTGTGGATGTGGGAGATGAAAGCAAAGATGAGTGAGATGCTAGATCACTCTCTGCCTCTCAGCTAATTATTTCACCTTTCTCCCTGCTTAGATTTTTTTTTTTTTCAAACAAGAGTTGCTTATATAACACAGAACTGAGCTGGGCTTTCTTCTTTCTTTTCCCCTCTGTTAGATATGCTAACAGATGGGAAACTGGTCTCAGGTAGGAAGAAGCAAAGATCCTAGAGAAGTCATTAACTCAGTCACTCTCTAAGTAATTTACAATGATAGGCTGATTTTCTCATCAGCAAACTGGGGATAATCATATCAATTCCATAGGGTTATTATGAAGATTAAATGAAATGATATACATGAAGTTTGGCACTACTGACAATTTGGGCTGAAAAATTCTTTGTTGGGGAGGTCGTCCTGTGCATTGTGGGATGTTTAACAGCATCCTGACATCTGCGCACTAGATGCCAGTAGCACACCCCTCCCCAAAAATTGAGACAATCAAAAATGCTTTTAGATGTTGCCAAATGTCCCGGGGTGGGGGGGTGCAAAATTGCTCTCCCCATTGAGAATCATCACTCTAGCATAATGTCTGGCACAGAGCACCAGAAATATCGTCACTTTTATTGTTAAGAGAAAAGTAGGAATAGGTGAAGAGTTAAATAAGCTGTGATTATAGAGTATCTAGAGAACTTGGAAATGATGACATTCATGGTAACCTCAGCAAACAGTGGATAGGAGGTAAAAGAGTAGAGAAGGCAGAGAACTAGAATATTACTCCTTACTTCATTCTTTTAAGATTCATTACATATAACACTACTTACACATTTTAATGAGCTTTTAAATTCCTTATAAAGTATTGATTTATCTTGTTCTTTATAGTTTGTTCTAGCATCTTTCAGAGTGAGTGCATAACCTATTTAAAAAGTCAGAGGAACAGAGAGTGGTCAGGTCCTCATCAGTTATGACATTTGTCCTGAACATTGTCCTGATGTTCAGTTTCTCAGTGCTGAGTAACAGTCTGCTGGAAACATTTGTGGGGTGCCTCCTTAGCACTTCATTAAGACTTACAGAGTTTTAATTATTTGTTCTCTTTCTGTAAGAAAACAAATGAAGATAAAGACAACTACATCTGGGCTACTAGTGTGTATCAGGTACAAGTACTTTACGTGCATTTTAATACTTACAGGAGCCCTAAAGGTGGATATTAACATATTCCTTTTTTGGATTAAAAAAACTGAGACAGAGTGAGACAGAGAGATTCAATTACTTTCTCAAGATTACACCATGTGTCAGGGACTGATATGAACCAAGATTTATCTCAGGCATTCTTAAATACCAAACTCACAATTATCTAATGTGTCTATGCTAGGCATGGAAGTTGATGTCAGTTATTCCCAGCTGGACTTAGGGGCTCATTGCTGTAGTCCCAGCACCTTGGGAGGCTGAGGTGGAAGGATGACTTGAGGCCAGGAGTTTGAGACCATCCTGGCAACATAGTGAGACTCCATCTTTAAAAAAAATAAATTAAAAGAAAAATTAGTATTCCCAGCTACTCAAGAAGCTGAGGCGGGAAGATTGCTTGAGTCCAGGAGTTAGAGGCTGCAGTATAATTGTGCTACCCCAGACTGGGTGACAGAACAGGATCCTGTCTCAAAGTTTAAAAACCCCACAAAATTTTCATTCCCAAGTTGAGATGCGTTTCACTCAACCAAGAACAAAACATTTCAGTAGCGGGGTTCCATGACCACATCTTCACTCATTTCACAGGTCTCTGGCTATTGCCACTTCTAATCTTTTACTCAGACACTCCTGACTACCAGTCACCAGAGCTTTTCTGATCCGGGCTATAATTCGGACTTGCTATATTGCCTGATACAATTAATAATTATAGCTAAAATTTATAAGCATTATCATCATTCAACCCCACAACAACCTGATGAAGAAGGTAAGCACTATAATCATACCAATTTTTCTAGAAAAAACAGGTGAGTCACCGAGAGGTTAAGTATCTCGGTGAGGCCACAAACCAGTAAATGATGGAGTTGATTCAACCCAAGATTTATCTGATTCCAGAGTTCATGTTCTTAACTATGCCACTTTTGGGGTGAGACAGACAAATGTGAAATGGGTCCTAATTTTAAAATCTCACTTGTTCAGGGTATCTTATGCATATCACCTGACTAGGTCTGGTGAAGTAATGCAGGTGCACGCTGCTCATAGAGCCAGTGGGAGTTACATTGTTATTATTATTAGAGATAGTCTTTAGCATTTCTATGCTACTTTCTTCTTGCAAATTGCTGCCTATTTTCCTAGAAAAGATTCACAAATGCATTGCAATACATAGCATGTTTATGTATTTGGGCACATTTACACTGTTGGTAAATGTACAGAGAAAAACTATTGCTGGTTACTTAGGTCCAGTAGCTAAGATAATAGTTTTTCCCCCTCAATAAACCTGTCTAGTAAAGCATAGCATACTCACTTTCTATCACAACCTCTAAAGACTGAGCATCCTACCATTCTAATCGGAGATAAAATAGGGAACTCAGGAAATCAATCAATAAGCAAATATTAATTGATGACAAACTTCAATGCATTAGAAATTGAATCTGCTATTGAGTAGAAACTGTTTGGTATTTGCTTTAATGCATATTCCATAATAAACAGGCTTCTGTATGGATGCTTTAATATTGGACACCCATTTGGATACTGTCAATATTTTCCTTGCTCAATACCCTTGCTCACTGCTAGCCATACAGACCCTTGAAAATATTCAACTATGAATAAATGAGTGCCTGAGTAAGAATCTTTCTCACATTGTCTTTACTTCTCTTTGACTATTAGAGATTCCAGTGCCATGTCAAGTAGTGGGTCTTCACTCTTACCTAAGGACAGACATTTTACAGACCTTTTAGTATCAGCAAGCAAAGGGCTTCACCTATAAAGTGAAACAGGCATGCACAATGAGTTTAGATTCCAAGTTTCACTTTGCTATTGCTGCATTATTATTCATGCATGCATTTTGATGGTATTCAATTAAACTAAATGTATGAACTGGAACAAATACCTAATTGCAATGACTTCTGTTGCCCCAGTAAGCTACAGCAAGTAATGGAAGTCTCACAATTAAATAACAACAATACCCTAAAAATCATATACTATCATCAAAGGAAACATACACAATCATCATCTCAAGTACTACATATCTCTGCTGGGAATAATTGGATTCTGACTTAGAAACAGCCTGACTTTAAATAGACCATTGAAAATAGTGCCTCTCCAAACCTTCAGCTCTGAATTGCCAGGGTGCTGAATTGAGGAGTTTAAAATAACAGACCCTTACAATTAAGTAAAATCCTTAAGAGGAATACAATCAACTTCCATACAAATCCTGGAAATAATAACAGCTTTTTGTTTCCCATCTTTTAATTCTTCGTTGATATAGCTTCTAGAGCCCACAAGGATACAATTTTGGGGAATAAAAGAAAAGAAAAGGAATAGGAAAGGTTTCTACTGTCCAACCACTTAGAAGAAAAACAAAACCATTTCCTCAGGGCTTTGGTTTTTAAATAAGAGTGGGTATTGAGTTTTAATGCATATTTTTAGAGAGCCACAGAACCCCAAGCTGATTAAATAACATTGAGGAAAATACTATGTACTAAATTAGAAACGAAAAGAAAAATTACTTACCCTAAAATTTTCTTCTGATTTCCGGAGACCGAGGAGTTTACCAGTTCAGCTCCTGCAGCCATTTACTGACAGCAGGCATACCCAAGCAAAGCAAACTTTGCTTTTCTCAGGACTCAGAAACTATGCAAATGAATAGAAAGAAATCACCCATTTTTGCCTGCAAGGTGAAATTACTTGAGTGCTGCTTTTCCAGCTTTCCTATTAGACCTTAGTGCCTGTTTCATAGCTGCTTTCGAATGCATCGATTTTCTGTAGAGGATTTGGGAGGGACCCTAAACTGAGCATTGGTTGGGTCAGCCGTTCTGAGGTTCTGTCCTTGGTGCTGAAAGAGAGATGGAGTAGGCATAAGCAGGATCCGTTTTCTACCTCGCTCTCCTCTTTTCCTCTTTGTCTCTATCTGCTCTGGTACTGTGCTTTTTGGCACATGTGTATTTTCCCCTCAGTGCTCTTTTTAATCTTAGTTTTTCCACTCTTTTTACCTTTATGCTTTAATTTCTCTTGAATAACTCTCACCGTCCTCAGTTTAATTGCCTTTCCAGATTTTGGTGGGTGTAAAGATGATTAGTTCAGAAGAAGGAACAGATCATCAAATTGATACCACAATTGGTTAATGGAAATCAGTACAATTTAAAACACAATTGACAGGATAATTGAATTTGGAGGTGTAAGCCTGTCTGGGAAAAGAAGGTTAAAGGAAACATATTACAAAGGTAGCAAAATTGAGGCATGGCGTATAACTGGTAATAAAGATGAAATAAGCTTAATACTGTAAGACATGTTAAATGTTTACGTAGTAGCACTTCTTGTTTTCAGAGAACTTTACAAATATTTGCCAATTCATTCTTAGTGATTCTCTGCGATATATATACTGTTTTAAAAACTGGTTTAGAACAAGCTAAAGTGAGATGCAACCAAGGACAATATCAGTGAAAGTCAGTAGTAGAACATAAACAATCCTAATTTATGGTCACCTGTTCATCTTACATTTTACCGTGGAATCCTAACCATTTCCTGTTCTCTCTCTCTCTCTTTTTTCTCCTCCTTTTAGGCAATGTGGTAATTTTTCTGCTATTTTCTCTGCCAACAGTGGATGTGCTTGGCAACTGCAGTGCAGTCATGGGGAAGCTATTTCTCATTTGACTGTGATGGAGACCTCTGCTGGCTGAGAAAGAAAGCAGCAGCATCAACAAGGTCTAAATACTGCTATTGATCACAACCGTCATTTATTGAGCATGTACTTATAGCCAGTCATTTTAATGTGTTGCCCCTTTTAATCCTTTCAACAACCGTACAAGGTAGGTACTATTTTTACCACACTTATTTTAGGGATAGGAAAATTAAAGCTTAAAGAGGTTAGCATAATGTCTGAAAGTTGCACAGCTGACAAGTAGCAGACCCAGGATTTGGATCTAAACATCCTAATTCTCTTAAACACTATGGTATAGTCTTCCAAAGGTAGAAAATTTGAACTTCCCAGAAGACTGATAATATGTCAGAGAGAATAATAATTATAATGACAATAATATTAATACATTTGTATATAGTTATATTTAGAAATCATTTAGATGATTTAGAAATCATTTTGTAAATTATGTTCTTATTTGCATCTTACATCAATCTTCATGATGCCTATTTTTACAGAGGCTGTTATGGGATAATTTGTGCCCTTCCAAAATCGATATGTTGAAGCCCTAACCTTAGAACATGACTGTATTTGGATATAAGGTCTTTAAAGCGTGAATTAAGTAAAAATGGGGCCTGTAAGGCATGCCCAAATCCAATATGACTGGCTTCCTTGTAAGAAAAAGAAGAGGCACCAGGAATGTGCACACAGAGGAAGGGACACAGGAAGATGGCATCTGTCTGCAGGCCGAGGAGACGGGTCTTGCAGGATAAACCAAACCTGCCAACCTATCGATTTTGGATTTCTACCCTTCAAAACTGTGCAAAAATAAATTTCTCTTGTTTAATCCACCTAACATGTGGCATTTTGTTATGGCATTCCTAGCAAACTAATACAGAGGCTTAGAGAGATTAGATCTCATATCCAAGGTTGCCCATAATTTACTGGGCATAAATGTAGTAGTTATATGGCATAAGTATATTGAGCATGCCCTAAGACTAGAACTCCTGGGTTGAATGTGAAACCCCAGGCTTTTCTTCCCTTAGATAAGGGGACCAAAAGAATATGCACCTATAAATCTTGGCTTGTCTGACATATAAAAGCAGGGATTAATGTCAGGCTGGTGTGGGAGCAGAAGGAAGCAGAGGCCTTCTAAGGAGTTAACCTCATATTGCTCACTTTCAGCAATATGGTTTTTACCTTTCAGTATCCTGTGTTTATTTTCTTTAACACTTGAAGATTTTGTGCCTAATGATTATGCTATCCTGATAATGCATGGATGTAGTAGGAAGAAACCTATTTGTAGACTTTCTGTGTTGAGAACACATATACTATCTTCCCAGGGCAGTTATAAATGCTGGCAAGATACTCCTCAGCATGTTTTTAGTGCCTTTCTTTGGCAAAATTAAAAGGAAGATACAGATGGATATAGACTCTTACTCTAATTCTATGTAGGAACAAGAGACAGGAAAATGAACTGACATGCCTAAAATCACACATCTAGGCAGTCGGCTGTGTCCCAACTCAGCTCTCTCTGGTAGACTCCTTGACCCTCATGGTGAATGGGGAAAGATTGGTGTGGAAATAGAAGAGAAGCAGGGTAAATGAGGTGATCCTTTCTCTCTGGACTTCACTATAGGTGACTTAGCAATTGCTTCTTTTACATGACACTTTCCATTCATACAACACCAAATAATTTTATTCTTTTAAGTAAATGGAACTGTTATTCATGACTGGCATTGAGATATGCCTTCTGGGAAGAACTCCAGGATGCCTACAGAACAGATACGCCTGGGTAGAAATCAAGAAAAATGTAGGTCATTTTCTTCATCTTCCTTCCAGAAACTCTATCTCAATAGCATGGCTGGAACATTCTCATGTACTAGCCAATGGCCGGCCCTTCATCGGGAAAGTCTTTATGTTTTGAACTTGAAGTGGGAAGTTTAGAGAAAGAGTGGAGAGACAGTGAGCTTCTGATATGTACGGTTACTCTGATTTTGTTTAAAAGGAAATTGATGTGACGTTTGTGGTGGGAATATTCTCTTCTTGCCTTTGAAATGCTGCTCCATAGAATGACCTTGCCTTGAGCACCAACCTTTGAGTATGACATGAGTTTCTCACACCACTTCAAACCCTCACTGAGCTCCCTCTCACCAGAACAGTATGGAGACCAAATAAAGCAGTGTGGGGAGCCAATTTGCAGGACCTATATGAATAGATGAACATTTTGTTTCCATGTCTTATTATAACTAGCATTCCTTACAGTGACCTGGAATATTTGATTAACATGATGATCTTAAATTGCATGGATACTGATCAGGTCTGAAGAATATCCTCTTAGTATGTTTTTCACTCAAATCAGGCCTCAAGTGGTAAAAGTGTAAATGTAATTTGGCAAATGCAGTGAGTGCTCCAGCAGTACGGTTATTTCTTCTCAACCTTAGCCCCCGTTCCTCTCCAATGAGATCTGGTATGATAAGGACCATCTGAGAAAGTCTTAGGGTTTACATTTGAATTCATTTTGCTGCTATAATAAATTTTTGAAAGAAAAATAGTTCAATTAATTGATTATTGTCTAATACTGAGCACCACTTTCTTTCTTTCTACCAGAGAATGGCAGCAAATAACAGAAGGAGGCTTCTCATTCAATCAGATTTGTACCTAGTCACTCATTATTGGTCGCAGAGTAATAGTAAATAAATAGTAAGGAAGGAAATAAATGATATTTGGTTTTATAGCTGCATCTATTCTTCTTTGTGCTTGAATTTTATCTCCCATTTCTACTTTTATTTTAACTTTTCAAACTATTTTTCTCCTGTTTTTTCCTACCCTTCATCATTATCTATTTTTTTTGGGGGGGGGTCTCACTCTGTCACCCACGCTGGAGTATAGTGGTGTAATCATGCCTCACTGAAGTCTCGACCTCCTGGGCACAGGCAACCCTCCCCACCTAAGCCTCATGAGTAGCTGGAACTGTAGACATGTGCTACCACACCTGGCCTTACCTGATCTTTTATTATTTTCCTCAATTTCTTTTAACTTTTCCTCAATTTCTTCCATCTCTTCTATATTTCTTTCCTTATTTCCCAAAATACGTAACTAGAAATGAGGATCAGTTAGAATTAGAGAATTTTGAATTCTAGTTAATTTATCATTTGTTCAAAAAGGATGTGGGGTTGGTAGATATGGCAGATTATATTTCCCAAAGATGATGATGCTGATATGCCTCATTCCTCACATTCTTCTAGAACCTCACCATTCCACCCTCAAGAGATGGAACCTTACTTATGTCTCTCTTCTTGAATCTGGTAGACCTCCATAACTGTGTCTACTAAGAGAGTGTGGTAGAAGTGATGTTATGTGATTTTTGAGGCCAGCTCATAAAAATGCCATATATTTCCACTTGTTCTCTTGAGATACTTGCTCCTGGAGTTCAGTCATCATGCTATGAGAAAGCTCAGGCAACCCACGGAGATGCCATGTGGATAAGAACTGAGATCATTGTCCTGACTAAGCTCACAGCTAAAAGCTAGTATCAACTAGCCAGCTGTGAGTGAGTCATTTTGGAAGCAGCTCCTCCAGTCCCCCATTGAACCATCTCAGCTGATGCCATGTGGAATAGAGACAAGCTATCTCCGCAAAGCTTTGCCCAAATTTCAGATTCACGGGCAAAATAAATGTTTAGCAGTAGGTAATAGATAATCTGAGACTCATTTTCTCTAGAACATGGCACATTTAGTGTTCAGAAGGAGCACATCTCAAATCCTATTGAGACCCATCTCATTCTGAGGAAATCACTATTTAATTATTTGGTGTGTTTGTTTGAAACTAGATGCTATCTATATCACCTTTGCGAAATTTATAAAACCCTTTTCCTCAAAATATGGGCCAAGGGCCAGGACCAGGAGCATCAACTTCACTTTGGAAATTTTTAGAAATGGAGAATCTTGGCCACCACCCTGGACTTACTGAATCCAGGATTTTAATCTTAACAAGGTACACCAATATTTATTAAAGTTGTAGCAACAAATGTTGTGAAGAACAAGACTATAAAACAGATGTATCTCTAAATCTCTAGATGCTGGACAAAGAGTTTATTATTTTCCACTTTCTTATATTTTTCAATTTTTAATTTTTTAAAATACATGTAACATGAAATCTATAATCTTACAGATTTTACTTATACATTTCAGTGGTACCAGATACATTTATGACATTGTACAACCATTACCAGTGTTCATATTCATGATTCTTCATCTTGTAAAACTAAAATTCTTTACCTGTTTAACAATAACTCCTCATTTTCTCCAAACCCTGGCAACCATCATTCTACTGTCTCCTTTTATGATTTTGACAACTCTAAGTACCTCATATAAATGGAATCCTATTATATTTGTCTTTTTCAGACTAGCTTATTTCACTTAGCATAATATTCTAAAAGTTCATTGATATTGAAGAATATGTCAGAATTTTCTTTTCAAAGCTGAATAATATTCAGT